TCCCTTCCCTCCCTTCATTCCCTCCCTCCCCAACCTGCACGGGTCAGACTCTGCTCCTGCAAGACCCCCCGGCCCCCTCCCAGACGGACGATGGAGTTGAGCCAGCCAGGGGCCGGGCTGGGGGTGGCCCTCCCTCCCTCCTCTATCCTCTCCCATCTCCTCTCCCCCAATCTCCTCCAGCAACCCAGGGATCAAAGCACACACATAACTTAACTCCGAATCCGAATCCGTGTGGAGAAAGACAGAGAGGGAGACTCGGACACACACACAGACGCACGTCCCTCAGTTTCTGACATGCCTCTTGTTCTTTGCCCTGCCCCCACCCTCTCCCCACAGCCCTCCCTTGGCCGCTGCTCTTTTATTTTTGATGGCCCTGACCTCCCCACCTTCCCCATGCTCCTCTCCCCCCCCATCCCCACCCCTTCCCGTGGCACCCCTGAGAATCCCGAGATCAAAGAGTTGTTTCCATTTCTCTTTAAAGTGAAATATTGTGGGGCTGAGATCCCTCGTAGCAACAAAAAGTTTGCTACCGTCGGCGAAGGCAAGTAAGGTCCATTCTGACTTTCTCAACCTGCACTTTGCTACATTTGATGAACCAGCCCCCGACTCCAGGGCCAGATCCCTCCACATCACTCTTCTCTCCTCCCCTCCTGCCCATCCCCCTCCCCTGCCCCTGCTCTCCCTCCTCTCCCTCATCTGTTCCTCTTCTCTTGAGTCTCTTTCTTTCTGATTCTGGGTCTCTGTCTTGCTTGCTGCTGCTTTTGTTTTTTTCCTACTGTGTTTCTCTGCTTTCATGGGATGTTTCTTTCTCTCGTGTGTCCTGTCTCCTTGTTCTGTCCCGTGTTTTTTTTCTTCCTGTGCTTTCTTTCTTTTTTCCACACTTCCCATCTGTCCCCTGGTCTTCTCTGCTGCGGCCTTCTCCCTTTTCTCTCATGACCCTCCTGTGTTTGTCCCTGCTGTTGATCTCTGTGCTCCCACCCATGTTCCACTGTCCCCTCCCCTCCCACCTTCTCCCTTCCTATCCCTCTCCCCTTATACCCAAACCCTCTGTGTCTCCCTCTCTCACCCTTCCCCTCCTCTCTCCACCTCCCTTCCCCGCCCCTCCCTGTCTCTTGTTCCCTCTGCAGGAGGCCATGATGGACTTCTTCAATGCCCAGATGCGCCTGGGGGGGCTGACTCAGGCCCCTGGCAACCCCGTCCTGGCTGTGCAGATTAACCAGGACAAGAACTTCGCCTTCCTGGAGGTAAGCTGGCACCACTGTTGGCCCGTGCACTCTGGCTCCAGCACCTTTGCAGCAGCACATTTGCCCTGGGCCCTTTGCTATCCCTGGCACCCTTGGTGCTGGGCTGGACTGGCCATGCCCCCCTGCCTCTCATTACCCCATTCTCTCTCCTGCAGTTCCGCTCAGTGGACGAGACCACCCAGGCCATGGCCTTTGATGGCATCATCTTCCAGGGCCAGTCGCTGAAGATCCGCAGGCCCCATGACTACCAGCCCCTGCCCGGCATGTCAGAGAATCCCTCTGTCTATGTGCCTGGTGAGTGGGGGTCCTGCCCACCCTTACCCTCCAGCCCAGCTGCCTTGGGAGCATTGCGAGTACTTAGGAACAGACACATGTCCTCATCCGATCCCCCAAAGCTTTGGGAGCTGGTTATCTCCCTGCTTGGCAGAACTGGCGCCTGGGACTGGGGAGGATGACCTGTGGTCTCTTGGAGACACGCAGCTTGTTGGTGGCAGGGCTAGGGCCAGAGTGCAGGTGTTGTGGGAAGTGGGGGCAATGTGTGCCCGGTCAGCAGCTAATCACCACATTGCTGAGCAGGGACTTGCACCTGGCACGCACAGTGGCCGACGCTCTGACGTCAACTTTTGAGAAAGGTCTATTTTGTGAGGTCCCCCAGCAAGGAGGCAGAGGCAAGGCTCAAGCCTGTCCTGATGGAGAGCTAGGCTCAGGGTTGGTGGGGCAGGTGGGCGGGGGCTCCAGTGGCAGGTGTGCGGACTACAGGCCTTCCCTTTTGAGCGGGTCCCGGTTGTCCAGTGTCTGTCAAACCCCAGTTCTGGTTCCAGGTGTCACCTGAGGTCAGAGTTTTGTCTAGTACATGATGTTGTTGTGTGGTTTATGTCACGTCCAGTTTTGTTGTTTTTGCACTGGAGAACACCTCAGTGTCTTGTTAGAAGCACGAAAAAGCCTGTTTGAGTTGGTTCTTGGTTGCAGCAGGGCCAACACCTGGGTATTCCTGCAGACTCCTTGCGCTGGCCCTGCCTCACTGCGTGTTCCCTGCCATCCATGCTGGGAGCTCGGGACTGGGGGTGGGTGGGGGCGGGGCTTGCTTCTGTCTGCAGGGGACCAGAGGGCAGAGGGTTAGGCTTTGCTGGCCATAAGGTTCCTGTGGAAACAAGACTAATCTGTGGTCCTGGTGTGAAAGTTGCAGAGGACACTTCAGCAGGTGGGCGTGGCTGTGCCCCATCTACCTTAAAATTGGGGACTGATGTTTGGGCTTCGTACAATATGCATGAGTCATCGTGACCTTTCAGAGGCCTTGCCAGATGGGGGTGCACATTAGGACTCGGGCCTGGGAGAGGCGTTATTAGGGTGCAGGAGGCACTGTGGCATTGGAGGAGCCATTGTGCTCTGACTGAGCCGGGGGCCAGGCTCAGGCCCTGGAGATGCTATGGTGGAGGTGGTGGTGATGGGGGTGCTGATGTGCTCAGTGGGGGTAACCAGGCCCTCAGGTTTGGAGAGTAGGAGTTTCTGTGCGCTGAGGCTTTGCACCAAAGAACACCTTTTAGACGCTGAGTCAGCTCTTCACTTTGCAGAGCAGCAGCGATGTGGCGTCCCAGAGGGGGCCCTGGGCCTGGATGCCGGCTCATTTCCTGCATTCTAACTTTTCAGAAAATGAGTAGGGCTTACTGGTGCTCTAAGCATACAGCTGGTGTGTTTCGATGTGTGCACATGTCTAGGGGGCCGGCTCCCATGTCTAGCTACAGATTGTCTCTCTGTGTCCTCTCAGTAAGTCTAGCCTATTTCGGTCAATTTTCATTATGTGAGGAGCCCCCACCACTCCCGTGTTGGGCACTGTCCTAAATGTGCTCTCCAGGTCATGTGCCAATTTTTGTGACAGTCCTGTAGTGTAAGAGTTGGCGAGTGACAATTAGGACCCAGTTGGCGAGTGACTATTAGGATCCTGCTTTTTAAATGCTGGCCTACAGCTGTGTGCACTCGTGTGCTATTCAGGTTGCTCTCGTGCTGCAGTAGCTACAGACCCCCATGGCCCATAAACCGATGGATACTGTGACCCCATCGTGGAGGAGGAAAGCCAGTCTGGGTGCCTGCTGACTTGTTCAGAGGTGGGACTTGGGATCTGCTCCACCAGTCTTCGTTTTCCTGTGCAGACCAACCAAGGTGTAGCTATAGAGAGTTGCTTAAGATTGTGTTCCCTTAGTCACAGGCTGTTTTCTGTATGTGACTCTCGCTGTGATTAAGCATCAGAAGGGTCACTCACTGATCTCTTTAGGAGATTTGGGTGTCTACGCCACAGATCTCTTTCATCCTGGGGGTGGCAGGAAGCAGGATGCTGCCTATAGGTTGAGCATTTTCAAGTTCTATTTCTTTCTATAATAAAGCTAATGTTTTGATTTTTTTCATGAAAAGTCAATTTTGTGAATGTAGGGAGAAAGTATTTGACAAAATCTATAGCAACTATTCTTTTTGGGGAAAGACTCGGAGCCTGGCAGGTATCTTCCTCACCTGGGCAAGAGGGTATAGACCTGAACCTGAACGTTTGCTGGGGCGGTGGCATCTTAAGTCTGTCCCGACTGCAGTCTGGCCTGACTGCCCAGCGCTAGTGTGGAGCCCTGTGTGGAGTTTGTAAGATAAGAGGGAGACCAGAGCCCAGAGAGCTGGCACTGTCTCCAGAGGCAGGAAGGCACAGTGACCAAGTGTGGCTCAGCGTGGCTCTGAATGCCTACCAGTGCCAAGCTCACCCCCAGCTTGGTGAGTCAGTTGAGGCTCAGGAGGTGCTTGCCTATGGGCTGTACCCACCCTCTTGGCAGAGTTTGGCCGTGCCAGGCTTAGCGGTGAGTGCTGGGGTCTAGCTGTGCATGAGGCGTT